AGTTCGCTTATCACAGAATCGGGAAACAGTGACACAGTCTTCGACAAGTGATTCATCAGAATATCGCCATAAAAGTCGAGTTCTTTGCCTAAAAACGAGAGTAAAAATAAAAGTTTAGATAAAACTACAAATAATAACACAATTATCACAAAAACTGACCACAAGTTTCCAAATAGTAGGGAATTATCATCAAAAAGATATTATGCGAATGAAATTCATTCCATTCGACCACAAGATTCGGCGGATACTTATCGGCCGAAGCGGTTCCAATTCGGTCGCTAAACGCCCGACAAATGGCTTCGATTAAATTAAACACTTTTGCGGCGAATAGATTGACCGCTAGACTCGTCGATAGCTTTTCCTTTTGGTTTATTATATTCTGTTTAATAATTAAAAATAATAATAAAACATTTACGAAGACTAGTCCACAAGAAGTATACCATAAGCCAAGAAGTAGCCGAACATATCATCAAATCCCAGTGATTTTGCGTCAGTTTATCACAAAATTTATTCACAATTACGGTAAATGTCTGTATTATAAGGCTATAGAACTGTAGGTCAGAGTCGGCGGTGATATCGCTAAATAAGACATAAAATATGAGTAAAATAATCGTCCACTAAATTAATTGTTATAATTATTGGATTACTTTTTGTAATAAAAGAGACCAGAGTTTTGGGCCTTAAGACCGCAAAACGTTTCCATAATTGTTGTGACCGTTTCGGTGATGTGTGTCAACTCGTCCGCCGGTTCGATGTGTTTCAGACACGAGTGAATGGCCGCCAGTTTCCCGATCCCATCGTCCAGTTGTATAAATCGGTCGCAACAGACAAAAGCGTTCACCGATTGAACCAAATGGTCGTTTAGAAAGTTTTGGTGTAAAATTTGCGAATACTTTTGAAACGTTACGATTTTGTTGTAATTTTGACTGAAAAATAATTTATAAATTAAATTTAATTACAATTTTCTACTCAAATATAATGAATATTTACTTTTCAAATGAAAATTCGTATCCAAATTCTGGATCTTTTTCTATAAAAGAGTCGATATAATGACCGAATGCTAGTCTATTGAGTCCATTATCATCAATGGATCTAAAAATGTAACAAAATTAACCATTAATTACATAACCACTCAAAGTAATCAATTAATGCATACTTTTTCAGTAAAATATCGCCAACTTTTGCCCTCAAATCACTAGATTTAGTCAAACGTAAAACATTGGCCAAACTTTCGGTAAAAATGTCACTATATCTCGAAAAACAGGTCGACTTCGGACTAGACTTGGACTTCAGTGACACGTAAGCGCTGGCAATGAATACATGATTCAATTGCGAGACAATTGTTTGCGATAAATCACCGCTGAGTTCGGTCTGCGAATGAGTTTCCAGTAGTTTTTCAATGAGAATAACGGACGCGACGGCCGAGAAGACAAACTGCTGGCCAGTGGTGTCCAACGACTTGGAGGTCAGCATTTCGCACACCGCCGGATCGAATAGGGTGTCACTCGTGAGCCAATCGTAATGGTGTACAGATGTGTCACATTTGTGATGCAATTCACACCATTCGGTATCCGTTAATAGCATTAACTCCAAGAGCAGTGCTGTGTTGGGATCAGAAAGCAGTGATTTCTTCTCTTCGTCGTCATCCGTGTCCAGAGAGGCGTTGATTGTCTCGTAAATGGTGTTTAAGAGGTCAAAGGCGCACCGGTAGGTAAGCTCAGCACTAGTGATAACGATAGCAATTAAAAACTAAAAATCACAACAAAATCAAAACCAATACTTTTCAATAGAAGTGATGTTCGTCTGAAGACGTGACCTGATCTCAAGGGCCAAACGGGCGATAATGCCGTCGTCGGCCAAATAGGCGCCGTTTGAGCGGACAATGTTAGCCACACCGGAACGCCAGGCCGTGCGGAGCTGTCCGCTCGGGTCGTCGACGCGACAGTTCATCGAGAATATGGTGAGCAGTAGATCGCGAGCCGACGACAATTCAGTGCACAACTCATAACTGGTGAACAGTTGCGACGCCAGACGACACGTAAAGTCCAACAGATGGTCAGCGGTGGCCGACGACGAGCGGCAACTGTCCTGAAAGGCCACCCGAAACTTGTCGATCACCTCTTCGATGTACTCGCGTTTGAATGAGTTGTCGGCAAAACAGTGGCTGATTAACCGCCAAAGTATATCGAGATCTCGTTGGGCCGATGGGCCCGCAGACGACTCAATGCTGGCGTGTATTAGCAACGATGTCTGGGCGATGAGCGCCCGCCCGGCGCTCTCGCTCTTCAGCCATTGGTGCAGATAATTGTCGCCCGTTTTGGTCGTTGCGATCGATATGACCCGTTCGATGATATACGGGTCGGATAGCAAACAAATGTCGTTCAATATCTTAAATCTGGTCTCATTGTCGGCAATCAGTTCCATCAAAGCGATGGTCATATCGATTAAAGTCTTTGTTTGCGACAACTTC